CCCGTGTCAAAAGCCTAACCACAGCAATTAAATCCGAGATAAAAAGACTAGACCGATTATACGTCGAAGCGGTTCTTGGCAACCATAATTGTTGTGATCTATAGTGGCTTCTGAGGCAGCTCTCTAGTACGAGCGTTTGCAGCCTGAGGGGTGAAGTGGATTTGGATAAACTGAATTCTGACTTTAGTTCCGCCTCATTAAGCTCACCTTCTTTGCCCTCCTTCATTAGCTCAAGTCCAGCTGCGCCCTACGATCAAGGCAACGTCCACAATGAACTGTGTCCAGACATATACAGCGGGTCTAATATTTTAACGCTGACCAGGCGTCCTTCGGAAATAGCACGAGGTTCCAGACGATGTATTTTAAACAGATTTTTTGGTCTTCAATGACGAGGACCTGTTGCTTCAATGTGACCATTTTACGGACTGCATCAAATATTGCTTTGAGATGTGTTGTCCTGTTGAAATGAGTTATCTAAGGGCAGATAGGTTTCCATCATCACTATTAAAGTGGCATCGAAGAATGAAAAATAGGCTTACAAGTGCAAGTGTTATTCTTGTCAAAAGCCTAACCATGTTGAAGAGGAAAGGTGACAGCGGGCAACCTTGTCTCACACCGCTGAATTTATTCAAGCGCGGCGACAGTTTGTCATAAACGCTCAATCTGCCCGTATAGCACCTGCATAATGTTTCCGCATTTATCGGGCATACCCATCCCGAGCAGGCAGTTCCAAAGGGCACATCTATCCACCCTATCGAAGGCACTGATGTCGACAAACACGATTACGGTGGGACACCACTAAACATGGCGGTGCTCCAGCAATCGACACAAAGTGAATATGTGGTCGATGCAGCCGCGACCTAGACGAAAACCGGCTTGCTCTTCACGAAGCTGGCTTTCACGAGTGCCAGTCAGTCTGTGAAAAGTGACAGACGAATGCAATTTGGAGGCAATTGGGATCAGACTGATTCCTCTATGATTGCCGCATTCCGAACGTAAGCCTCTCTTGAAAGTTGAGACTATGACGGATCAGCTCCAGTCTGTTGTGACAGTCTGCTGCTCCCACAGCTTAACTAGTACCTTGTGCAAAGCATCTACAAGAGCAGGTCCCCCGAATTTGAAGAGGGCTGGGGGAAGTATATCTGGTCCCGCAGCGTCATTCAACCTCAACAGTCCAGTCCCACGTTCGACTTCTGAGCGAGAGGATGGATCCAAAAGGACAGCCCAGAGAGCAGGCCGATCAGCGACCGGGGAGAAATCTGACAAATCCGACCAATTAAATCGCAGCAACGAAACAGTACAGAAGCTGCGTCAGCTGCGGTCATACAACAGACATCGCCTGATTTGCATGATATGAGAAGGGTAAGCCAATTGGAAGCTGAGAGAGTGCGGAAAAGAAACAGGTTGAATGAACAGCCTTAAAGGATGCGTTGCAAAATAGACGTACGGTGACAGAATGGAACAGTTCAGTGGAGTTACAGTTTATCCACTAGTACGGCTACAGTTTCCCAACGTGGAATTCAGAAGGTTGCATTCGTACCGGCTATGGATGTCCGGAAAAGCAAACGAGCAGTTCCCACCGGAATATTAGTCGGTGGTGCTCAAACCTTTCTGATATCCATTCTGAATCGGTTACAGGCGTAGTTCAGGACTATGGATAAGAGTGCCACTTAAAGTCACAGAGTATGTCAAAGTTCGAAGTTAAAAATGTCCCATGAACAACAGCAAGTTGCCAACTTCTAAATTTTCAGCACCAGGGAGGCGTCTGAGTATCGTGTCTCTCGGCAGTGATCACCAGAAAATATAGGAGTCACAAACCGTGTTGACTCAGTAATGGTGAAACCACAACAAAACCCGGACACCTCTTAAGACAACCGATATCGCTCCTGGCACAACTAGACATAGGATATGGTGACGAAGGATACCAACTGACGGTTGCATCGCGGCTAACGTTCTGCGACGGAAGACAACAGGATCAGCGCATTGGAGATACCTTGGAGTGGCAAGATAACAAAGCCCGACGCGCACATACGAACTACAGCTGTACGGTACGCAAAGGTGTTATAGTGCCGCAGCGCATGTGGGGCTTCGGCGATGGACGCATCAAACGTGGGTAACACCACAACCGCAAGTTCAGCTCTGGCCAGCGTGGTCTTTCAGCCATGTAAGTGGTGCATTAAACCGCCAAATCGCGTTTCGTTAAAGGGTGTTATATATATATATATATATATATATATATATATATATATATATATATATATATATATATATATGTCTCATGCTGAGGCTGATGTTGCATTCTTGATGCTTCTTCACCGCAGTTGGGCTAAACGAACTTACACTTAAACTAGGTCTTTTTAAGCTGGATAAATTTCATTCCGCTTTATTTGGTTTGTTCTGCCTCCCTGAATAACGTTCTAATAGCTGGCCACGTTGCTTACACTAACTGCGCTTATCTTCGGTAATTTTGTTGCGTTTGTAGCATTTTAAGTAACTTATGGACATTTCTTACTTATCATGGATTTGTTGCTAACCAACTTACTTCATATGGTAATTTAGCGAAGAGTTATGCCACCGTATCTGTATGCATTATTGGATTTATTTTATTTCAAACTCAAAAGATTAAAGGCAAACAAAGCTTGTGGTCCGGATGATTTCTCACCATTTGCTTTTAAGGAGTTTACTGATTTTCTCACACTGTCTCTAACAGATCTCTTTAAGAGATGTAGTCCGGACATTTGGAGAACGGCCAGTACCAAAAATTAAATCTTAAAACTATCGCCCAATTACATGTGCGTCTATGCTTCTAAACGTTTTCGAAAGACTGTTAAATCCCCAGATTTGTTCAGCTGCTCCTGAGGACGTTATCTACCAGTTTGCGTATAGACCCCAGCGCTCCACATTGGATCCAGTGGCATATCTTGTTCATTCTGTAGCCTCTGCATTAGATCAAAGATGTAAATCCGCACGGCCTCTCTTCCTGGATTTTTCCAACGCCTTTGCAAGCCTGGATAGGTCAAGTTTACTAAACCTGCTATCCGAAAATGGAGTTTACCCAGGTGTGTGTAATCTCTTACGTGATTATTTTACCGATCGTACTCATTTCACCAAGTTGAACTGTAAGAGATCCTCTGTCCTCGGTACCGACTGTGGTGTTCTACAGGGAGCGATCCTATCACCTTTTCTATTTTCCGTGTATGTTGAACGTCTCCCTATAAAACCACGTGTATAGGGTGTAAAAATGCTTACGATGTTGTGCTGGGATGTATGTCCCGCACCATCCAGGATTGCTCATGATTTCAACTTGGGTCGGAAGATCTGGTGGAATGCTCTTCATCCAGATCTCTTACGCTTAATTCTAAATGCAGGGATGTAATATTTTCTTTTCTACGTGGCGATAAGTTGCAGTCCCTCATAGATATCCCCCACAGTTATTATGAATGAAAATCCCATACCCAGCTCTTCTACCGTCAAGTATCTCGGCGTAATTTATCCGAGAACTTCTCTTGGTCCACACATGTGTGTAAACCTTTTCAAAAAGTCAGAAAACTTTCTTTTTATGCCCTCAGACTTAAGCTGATCCAAATACTTCGTACTTTACTATTCAGGTTTCTGACCTCTTGTATTATTCCCCATTGGCTTTACTGCTCTCCTGTCTTTTTCCTTGCACTGCTTCAGAAAGCTACATCTTATTGGTGCGATCTACAAAGCACATTTCTAGATGCAGTAGCTTGTCTAGAGATTCTTTAGTTGATTTGATCTTTTCAGACATCTTGATGCCTGCAATGATTTTTCTGCCAAGATACTAGCTGATCGATTTCATCCACTTCACAATAATCTTTCAAAAAACGCTCTCTTTCTCTTCTACTCATTCGAAATTCGGAATTTTATTCTCCCGCACGTCATCGTATCGTAATACTCTTTTGTCTTATCTCTCACGTTTGCTTGTTGACACAGCAAAAGTCCCTAACATACTGCGCGAGCGCTTGTTGGAGTAACAGTTCTGCTTTTTTCCCATTTTTCTCCCCAGGCGTGTATATTGATATGATCATCCGAGTGTCCACAGCGGTGGTGTAAATGCTGAAAATGAACCCATTAGGGTTCATAAAACTTTTTCTGACTTCACATAGCTCGGGAAGCTGACAGCATGTTACTACACCAACCATCAGGTGGCCGTAGCACACTATCCACCTTCTCATTGAGTGAGATGGAAGCGAGTGGTACTAAGAAACCCGATAGTAATGTTCACTACGATCCCCGACGCCTTCATAGACTGTCCCAGTTCATGTATTTGTTGCAACCCTGTGTCCATTTTGCGTACCTGCTATTAATATAAGTAGCAGCTCGTCTTTCTTCACTTACAGCACTCCACAGTGCAGTTTCTTTCACCATTGTCCTTTTTTTGACCTCAAGTGGGGCTCGTTTCTTGCCATCGAACACTGTTACGGTCGTGAAGCGCATACTCATTTGAACTCCGGCACTACCGTTGCTAGAGCTTACCGAAAATCGTGAATCCACAATGCGCTCTGTGATAAACTATCTTTTATTGGATTGCATCATCGAGTTACATGGTTTCATAATGTTCGACTGTTTTTTTTTCTCGTCGTAAAAAGTGCAAAAACATGGTCCGAATGGCATGCATTCGGCATTGGATCACACTTAAACTGCGCGTTTCGTCAACAGTGCAAGCTGTATCGAGCTCCTTGTAGCTGGTTCTATATGTACTTGTCCATCGGGCAGGGTGTACTCACCAACTGCTAAGATACTGATAACTACTAAGATGATAATAATAGATAAGGAAACCCATAGGCGCATCACTGGTTAAAAGCACTTCTTTAATTCTACGATCTCATCAACACAGCACACTTAGCGCAGCCAAGACTTCAACTCACCCGGAGCTCATGTGGAACCGTTGGGAACCATTAATTTATGGTCTATGAACTCCTTTCACATTTGTTTAATGGCTTTTTCATTTACACCTTTCTTCCCACACCCCGTAGTCAAAAATGGAAGCGGATTGAACAGTTACAGATTGAGAAGGAAACTTGGAAAGAAAAACCGAAGCCCATATTGGTCACACTTGAAGAAAGCCCATCCCCTGTCCCTAAGATAAAAAATGAACCACACTCCTCTCCTTCAGATGACACTGGTGACGATGAATTTTACGACTTCAGGAAGAAAAACACTTTATGATCTTTAATGAAAAACATGAAATGCATAATGACTATGTACAGCTCTAATCGATTGTTTCTTCTCCTCGGCTTGTGTTATCACGGGTGGGAGTGCGCTAGCGTCCCGATCATTCAAATGTCAACCAGGGGAAACGCACATTATTGGCGGTCTCGATCACTCGATCCTGGGTTTTCTTGTCCGCTAAATTGGTGTGGAGGTTTATACGTGGTACTCTCCTCGTGTAAGCGAGCATGCATTTGCATATCCCTGTTCACGCTTGGCAACGTCTCCATCAGTTTGATAAACGTCCCATTTTGGTTGCTGAAGCTTTTCATCAGATCCGGATACCGGTATCTCCAGCTTGGCCTTTCCTTTGGAATGACGAGTGTGCCATTCTAAATGTTGTGTACAAAGAACAGTAATTAGTAACAAGCTACCAATGGTTAACTTTTGTTACACAGTTATACCCAAAGGCATTCTGAGTCTGAAAAGTCATCTCTTGAAGTTTGGTCACACCACTCTTGGGTCCGTTAGCTGAAGGTGGACACCCAATATTGCCGGCTAGAATATCACTGAAATTTTGGCTCTCTCCAAGTGTGCCAGCTGTACAGCGGCTCTCGAAATTACTCTATCCGCCCACCATCACAACCTTATCGCTCATCGGGAGACATTGCAAACTGACTGCCCTCAGCGGCCTTTTTCATGAAATCTGGTTGGGAGCCTAACACTTGTCTCCTTTGCAGGTTTATCCACGTTTCCGTAGCTCCTACCCTGATTCTCACTGGACTAGTTAAGCATTAACTTTCCATCCTCTGCTTAGTCACCGTTCCATGCTTCTCTCAGATTTGGCAACAGAGTTATCGAGGGAACGTTTGTAGCTAATATGTGTACCTGTGGGTCGATGCATTGTCACCGCACCGACCTTGTGAGGGGATTTCTTCAGTACCTGCCATCACTGTTATCGTGTACACGTTCCAATCGAGAACGATTTGAGCCCAGTTCGATTTTCTACTTAGATAATTTCACCTGCCCTAACTTCCTGTTCTGGCTAGTCCACTCATTTGCACACTATCTGACAGCCTGTATTGTTGCGCCAGCCACTCCCGTCTGATGTTCCACTCAGTACATCATGCTGAGTTTTGAGCCCCGACCTAGTCATCGCTTTACTCTGCGCTGGGGTCCAGGTCGTCCAACAGTAGCACTTTCATAGAACTTAATCAGCCGATGCAAATCACTCGATAGCACAACTGGTCTTGAGGGCATTGTCTTGTCCTCGACCGCTCGGTCAGTTTTTCTCTATCCGTTGCGTCTTTTATGGGCATAGTGCAAATGCTATACAAAACCGACAAGTTTAACATCACGTTGTGAACCAAGACCACAGGTTGTAAACTTACCAGTCCCATGAGTCTTCTGATTCTGCGCAGTCTTCTTGGTGTGGGTTGAAAGTCGAATACGAGCGTTATTTCACATGCCTGTCTGCCACTGTGGATTCTTTCAATCAATTGTTCTTCGTACGCTAAAATGCAGGTTGGTAAAATTGCACTCTTGCTTACCACACTCGTTCCAGTCAACGATTTGTAACGGCTCACGGCCGAAGTATTTGGTAATAAATGCGTCAATCTGGAACAAAAGCATACCAATGAAGGTTGTTATGTAATAATGAAGACCACTTATTCCCATTCTAGTTGTTATCGAAAGCATTTTGCATTTGAGAACAGGCAGTGTACTTTACCAGTCATCAATTTTTTACTTATCGGTTTCTAAATCCCTTATCATGGCTAGTTGCGTTCAAAAGTTTACTGAACAGTTTTATATATGTCAAACAATAGGATAACCTCGTTCACAGGCCAAATCAACCAAACTCCCAGGCAGTAATTTACTGCATGCACCGTGAGACTCCACAGGGAAGCACAGCAGGGTAGATTACACGATAAGGTTAGATATAAATGATGCAACCCCAAAAGAAACACCACTTGCTTTTTGGGGAAGATCGTCTGACAATTCACTATGGACTCTGATGCAATCCACAATAACCGAGTACGGCACGCATATTCTATTGAAACCTATCCGAAAAGGTATTTCGGACAGAATGGATCTATTGACTGAGTAGAGCATGCCTACGGAACACAGCCATAATCTGTCTGCGATACGTTTGCGGATGTCTTCGCATCTGCCGCACAGTGGAAGGTTGGCAATATAGTCCCGTCCTGGTTGGAAATCTGTCTGATTTTTTCCCATACGAGATTCTCGTTCCGCATCATCAGAGAATATCACTGCTGGCAGCAAACTGGCTTGTGGTTAATACAGGCGTTGAACATTACTATCGCCATAGACTTGCCACAGCTGGTTGGGAGTACGTTTCCCATGGATGAATGTTCAAGTAGAGTACCTCATCGCGATCGTTAAATTGTTCAGATACGAGAGAATCCGGACTAGCAGCGCGGAAACGATTGGGCGCTATGATGCGCTTTCGAATCTCAGTTCCAGTCAGAGCTTCTAAGCTAACAGCCATAGTTCGGCATACGCCACTGCTCAAAAACAGGACTGCAAAATAACTGCTCCTAAAAGTGCTCTGCCCAATGATCCAGCTGCCGTGCTGTTCACCAATTGTCACATAGCCGATTTCCTGAGACAAGTGATGTGAATAAATTGTAATGGCCTATGTGAGTTATCAGCCTACCCCGCTTTCTCCTTTTCCGGAGTCTTCTGGATCCATCAGACTGTCTTATCCGCACATTGAATGGAACGAACTGAAACTGTTGGATATTGGTTGTTGCCTGAATTGACCAAATCATCACCAGTACACCTTAACTGAGGGTGAGAAACACCTCAGCTAATGGGCCGCAATACAAAAAGGTAAGAGATTAACGTTAAGGACTAAAAAGTCCAAAAAGGAAGTAATGTAATGTTAACTCTCATATTACGCATTTGGAATGATATCGTAATTGGACGAGGAGTCTAAAGGGGAGGGGGATAGACAAAGAAACACATCACAAACTACTGAGGCCGGCTGTTCGCCATATCAGAAACGCTGTCCAACCATAAGTGTTCATCGTCTTTCGGACCCCAGCCCGGCGGTCGGGATGCATCAACCGACACCAATTTCGAAATGAGGGTTTTCATTCCTATCGACCAAGTCGTCACTTGGCCTCCCATCCTCCTCTTCCATCCACACCCCGGTCGCACAAACAACGCCGAAGTCGGTGTGCTGGCATGCGTAACACGTGGCCCAGTCACCGGAGCGTGGTTCGTGATATAACGGTGCCGAACGGTTCACTCGCTCTTCCTACACCAAATACGCGACGCCAAACACACGCGGTACTCCCACCAAACATGAGCTAAGCTGCGAAAGCAGCGATGGTCGAATGTAGCTAGGATCTTTATGTTTGTCGACTTGATGGGCCAGGTTTCACAACCGTATAAGAGGGTTGAAGGGACGGTTGCATTGCAAACTCTGCCCTTCAGGGTGAAAGTCAAGTAGGCGCTACAAGCTGCGGAGATTGCCAACGTACCTCGAGCTTCTGCTATACGGTTCGTGACCTTATCTTCGATCCCACAGGCCGTCATATAGCTGCCCATGTACTTGCATTTCTGAACGATTTCTAGCTTATCCCCAACATTAATCAGTGCAGGGTTGTCCCTGCCAATCTTGGGGAAAGTCTTTGCATTTCGAGGGAGCAAAGCAAAGCCCAAAACGCTTAACAGCTAGTGTTAATCTGTCCAGTGCTGCTTGGCACGTTTGGGAGCTGTCACAGATTAGGACAATGCCGTCAGCATACCACATGACAAAAAGTCGCTCACCTGGGAGCAGCTTCACACCAAAGTCGTGTCTAGCGAACGCTGATTTCGTCAGTGGCGAAGTTGAAGAGGAAAGATGACAGCGGGCAACCTTGTCTCACACCGCTGAATATATTCAGGCGCGGCGACAATTTGCCATAAACCCTCACTCTGTCCGAACTATGCTCGTATATCGCCTGCATAATGTTTACGTATTTCTCGGGCACACCTTTCCCGAGCAGGCAGTTCCAAAGGGTACATCTACCCGCCCTATCGAAGGCACTGATGTCGACAAACTCGATTACGGTGGGACTCCACTAAACATGGCGGTGCCCCAGCAATCGACACAAAGTGAATATGTGGTCGATGCAGCCGCGACCTAGACGAAACCCGGCTTGCTCTTCACGAAGCTGGCTTTCACGAGTGCCAGTCAGTCTGTGAAAGGTGACAGACAAATGCAATTTGGAGGCAATTGGGATCAGACTGATTCATCTATGATTACCGCATTCCGAACGTAAGCCTCCTTTGAAAGTTGCTACCATGACGAATCGGCTCCAGTCTGTTGTGACAGTCTGCTGCTCCCACAGCTTAACTGGTACCTTGTGCAAAGCATCTACAAGAGCAGGTCCCCGAAATTTGAAGTGGGCTGGAGGAAGTCTATCTGCCCTTGCGGCCTTATTCAATCTCAACTGTCTGATCTCACGGTCGACTTTTGCGAGTGAGGGCCGATCCAAAGAGACGGCCAAGGGAGAAGTGCAACCACTGCTGGAAAATGAAGGTGATAACTCGGGTTGATTACGCTACTTTTCAAAGTGCTCGGCCCAGCGCTCCAAGCGTTTTGACAAGTTGTGACTCGGCTGTCCACTCTCGTCGTGTATGATCTCGCTAACATCAGGTCTCAGACGGTTACCGACGGCAGTGGCTGTTTCCATCTACGACGCAAGATGAGATCATCAGAATTCACGGTCTTTCTGCAGATTAGCGCGGAATTTTGCCCTGAAATTGTTGCGAGTCTAAATAAATAAACTTATCAGGTGTGCGAGGCACGCTCCTAGATGCATGATCATGTAGGTGCATAAATGTACAATATTTCGACCATAAGTTGAACAGTCGTTTGAATGTTTGTCAAAAATTAATATATGTAGCGACAAAAGTGGCTCGATCGGAACAGAAAATAATATCTTTTATTTGCTCTCTTCTGATTATATGTGCTAAGATTGTGGAATATAGTCCGATATTGTGAAGATGAAGTCAATTCACCTGTAACAAGACGATAGGACGAAGCTTAATAAATATATGCAACGAAGCATGAGTGAGAAGCAAGAATTTTTGTATGATTTCCCAACTGAAGTGAGAGTTTGCTCAGTGCATGCAAGTGTGCTGTTTATTCGTGGCGAAACCAACTTACCGCTAGTCGCAGTCGTCAGGTCACTCAATTTCCTTGGATAGTATCAGGCTGCTGGCTGGCTTCTGGAGTCGACGATAGTGAGAGTGCACTCTCACCGAGGTTTCTCTACGCTACTGCATATCACTGAACTATGCACTGATGATGTCACCTCGATTGGTGACGAAACGTTTGCAGCAACATTGCCAAGCTCAGCGAATAGTTCAACCGCCATCTTTCACTGAATCAGTACTACACTTTGTAGGGGCGTAAGCCGCAGTGACAAATAGGCACCGTATGTCCCCGCTCGACTTCCAAGCCTGGAACGAGCCAGTCAATCTGACGGCGCATATCCGGCTGTTGACTAGGATCCAATCGATGAGGACAGCTTCAGCCCACGCCGCCTTGGCCGGGATTTGAAGCTGTGTTTTCTCAAGACAGTCGCAATGAGAAAGTGCCGCCACTGTCGCATGTTGGGGATTGCAGGGTGCGCGCGGAGCTCGAATCTTGCAGGCGGGTTTCCGATAAGAATCAGATATGGATCGATAGGGTCTCTAGTGTTTGGACAAGTGCTGTCTGTTGGCCAATCTGTGGTAAAATGCGCACCTTGAAGCATACCACTTAGCCAGGATCGAGGATTCCAAAGGGAAACGGATGAACCGACGTCGTTCGCTTGACTGAACGTAGTCTTATCGACTAGACTGGAGCGGCACCCTGCGATTGCGTGTGAGTTGAAACTAGTACATAACTGCCTTTTGGAGCAAGTCCGGGGAGGGCCAAAAATTGGGGATTGAAAACCGGGGCAAAGTGAAGTTGGAGCGGGACGATACGGGTGAATAAGCGCGAGAACAGGAATAAGAAGACAGGAAGGCTTGAGCATTAACATCCAAACCCCTATCCACCCTGCTCGATGCAGCAGATAGAGCGTTGTTGATTATCCTGTGCGACGGCCAGAGCATTAAGAGATTGTTTAAAGGGAAAGTCATTGCGTTATATTGCCTGTGCAGGATACTGTCAGGTTGCCCAGGCCTAGACAGGAGAACGACTAGGGTGATCAACCAAAACGTTTGGTTCCGAAACTTCACTGCAAGACGGCAGGGTTTTGGCACTGGGCTACAGAGAGTCCGTTTTATGGAGTAAGGCGCCACCCTCACTTCAACCCTAAACCTGCAGGGCCAGGGGACAGTTTGTCTGGCCTCTAACCATTGCCCAATCTGGTATGAATGGCTCTGAAGGTGTACAAAGCACCAACCAGCATAGGTCTCTGGATCATTGAGGCACACAAACCATCACACCACGTTAAGGTCCAGTGTCGTCGCGATAGAATTGATCAAGGTTCACTTTGATGCGAATCGCAACTAGTATTGAGGTTACGTGTCGCAATTCATTCACACGAGTCCTTTAAAATTACCCACTCAGTCAGGAGCGAGAAATGCTGTGCGTGTGATAGGTAATTTAT